TTTTTTTTTTTTTTTTTTTTTTTTTTTTTTTTTGCTTACATATATGCCCATAGAAAAAACTGATAAAAATTTGTTTACAGCAGCTAAAAAGTACCAGATTTTGTTGAGACAACAACAATTTTTTTGCAAGTAAATAATCAGAGCATACTTCTCTGTGGGAAGCCGGGAAAGCCAGGGTAAGCTATGGAGGAGGAGGTACAAGAGGAAATCTAATGATTGGGAGAAAGGCGCAGTAACGGCAACACTGATAAGGAACATTATAAAAGAGGAAAAAAAATAACTATGTATACCGAGGAAAATGCCAGGAAGAAAAAAAGACAAAAAAGAAAGTTTACCAAAATAAATCATCTTGATAAAAAAAAAAGAATATTATATTTAATAAACAGTTGAAAACTGATCAGCGTTGTTTTTGTTCATAAATTTGAAGTCCTCAAAACCGTCATAACTTATTGAATGCACGCAGACTGTACTGCAGTTTTTTCTTAGCTTTACAGATCAAATGATACCCGGTATTCGCGAGAGTTTTTGGTTTGCCACTAAATCACCAACATCAACGTTCCCATAATTTATCGAAACTTTCTATTTTGTTTTCTTTCTTTTTTTTTTTCGATTACTTTCACATCAGCCAATATTTTTATTCAATCAAAAACCGTTGATTAGTGATGCCTTTTTTTTTCTTTCAAATTAATTATGAATGAATGATTTTTTGAGACTGGTAATCGCTTACAACAACAGAAGGGGTTATAAAAAATTCTTTGCGATGCGCTTCAGGGTTATTGTTAAGTATTATAGGTTTTAAAAAAAAAAAATAAAAATTGATGGAGGCGGAGGTGGAGAAGTAAAAGAAATAAGCTAAGATATTTGTCCTGCCTGTTGCCTTCTAATCATCGCCAATCATGATCGTTATGCTGACGTCTAAAAGTTTTTGTCTAATTTAATTGATCATATGATTCAAGAATAGCATTTGCAATTTTTTTTGTTTTGTTTTTTTTTTGGATATACACAAGCTTTAAAAGGTCATAAATTTTTGTTATTTTAGAAATCAAACTGTCTCACATACATTTTAAATTATCTGTTCAACAATTCTCATTTGGTTGCTTTTTGTTTCTTTTTGCAGCAATCGACATAAATTTATTCCAAACATTAAAAAAATCTAAAAAATTTTTTATGTTTATATGGCAACTTTGATGTTGTTTTTGAGCGCTTAGAATAAGCAAAACTTTCTGGTAATCAACAAGATTTGAGAAAATTCATAGAAGAAAGAAATTTTTTGATACCAACAATTTTTATAGCCGCAACAGTCATTGCTTACAATAACGCTAACCAGTCAAATTCTCACAATTTCTTTTCCAGCTGACTTTTTCTTTTTTTTTTACAATGAAACTGTGCTGCTGTTTCAGAAATTTGTTCACTAATTTTTGCTCTTATCAGTTTACATTCCTCTTCGGTTACATTTAAATTGGAAAAAAACGCATGCAGTTTACCTAATGCTGCTCTTTTTTTTTTTTTTTTCTACTTTGCTATCGACTATACAGCTCACAACTTTACAGAAGAAACAATCAGCAATTGTACTTTAGATGGTGCTGCTTTAATTAAACGACAAACCTCCAAGAAAAGAAAAAGAAGACTGAAAGAATTGAAGAAAAAACAGCTAATCGATGAGATTTCAGTATAATAAAATATTCTTTCAAAAATTATATGATTTTTCAATGACAGTGACCCACCACTCGTTCAGCCACAAATTATTTATTGTTCTGGCCAACAGAGATGCATTTCGAGCTCGAAGTTTCCGTCTCATAACTAACTTTTAATGTGCCGTGACTTTCAAAATGAGCAGCTAATGACAGTATTATACACTACATCAAGAAGCTAATAACTTCCTAATTTATTATCGCAAGTTATGTAAGTTTACTGATAAGTTAAACTTTTAAGGTTTTATGGTTCAAAGTTGAGTCAAAAAAATACTATTAAAATATAAGTAACTCTACTTTTTTGTCAAAATTTTCATAAATCGTTAGATTCGGTGAACTTTATTCTTACCTGATGCGCCACCGAATACCTAATACCTTTTTTTGAGTAGAGACAACATGAAAGAAGAAGAAGCAGAAAACTGATCTACATTGGCAGTCAATGCATTTGCTCTTTAAAATGGTTTTTTAGCTCAGTTAGTTGACATTCACAACCATTCATGATGAAGTAATATTAGTTTTAGTCCTTTTCAGTTTGAGTACAATATGTATGCAA